TTAAATAAAATAAATAAAAATTTAAAAAGCCCCACAGAGCACAGAAGTCACCTCCACTCCACCCGATGCTCTCATGCCACCTCTGTCCTTCTCTGTCCCCTCCCCTGCCCCCACGCCTGGCCCAGCTCCTTGCCAGCTGGTCCCCGGGGAGCAGTGCCCATGGAAATGGTGCCCTTGCTTTCTCACTAAACAAGCACCTCCCCGCACTGCCCCAGAGCTGGTCCTGAGTCTAGGGAACCAAGGGAGCCACTCCACGGGGAGACAGAGGGACCTGCTGGAGAAAGATGTGTAGACATGGGACCAGAGTCAAGAAAAAGAAAGCGAAATTGAGGAAATGCCAGGGAGGGGGCCTTATTGAGCCTGAAAAAAATCTAGGGAGAGGAAGGAGTGTAGGGCAACACCACCCAATGGCAATTTTCCCAATAAAAGCGCCATAATTCTACAGCGGTCTTACAGCAGGCGCTCAGTGGATGCTCGACGACATGTTATCTCTGTTCTGGCCCCACCCCATTACAGAGGGTCACACGGGAGGAAATGGAGTTGATAGAAAAATAACTCTGCCCCAGCTGGTATGGCTCAGTGGATAGAGCATCGGCCTGCGGACTAAAGGGTCCCAGGTTCTATTCCAGTCAAGGGCACATGTCTGGGTTGTGGGCTCGATCCCCAGTAGGGGGGGTGCAGGAGGCAGCCGATCAATGATTCTCTCTCATTACTGATGTTTCCATCTCTCTCTCCCTCTCCCTTCCTCTCTGAAATCAATAAAAATATATTAAAAAAAGAAAGAAAGAAAAAGAACTTAAACCAGTTCTTTCTGACAACAATATGAGATCTGCTAACTTCCTCTCTGCAGCTTCCTTATGGACACTGAGGTCAGCACAGCTCGAGATGGCGAAACCCCACCCGCCGTGGAAGCAGGAGCGTGGACCTGACTCCCTGGGGCTCTGGGCTGTGTCCCCACAGCTGTAAAAGGACCCCCACCCCCAAGTACCTGTGCTGGAGACGCCGGCGATGTTGCTGGGCTCGCTGACCAGGTCCTGCATGACGGCCAAAACCCGGAACTCATACCAGGTGTCCTACAGCCAGAGGGACAACACCCATCAGCCAGGGACCTGAGTGGCCACTGGCCTGCCACTGACCCGCCACCGACCACACCACCATTGACCCCGCCAGGACGTGTCGTGGAACACGGCACCCAAAGCAGTGGTCCTGAAGCGTGTAACAACCCGCTCTCAAGTGAAAAAAAAAAAGAAGTTCTGGTTTGTAGCCTTTGCCAATTGCTGTGGTGTAAATACTCTGACCACGGCTGATGTCAAATGAGATCATGGAGAGCGGCCACTGACCTGCCACCGACCACACCACCATTGACCCCGCCAGGACGTGTCGTGGAACACGGCACCCAAAGCAGTGGTCCTGAAGCGTGTAACAACCCGCTCTCAAGTGAAAAAAAAAAAGAAGTTCTGGTTTGTAGCCTTTGCCAATTGCTGTGGTGTAAATACTCTGACCACGGCTGATGTCAAATGAGATCATGGAGAGGAAAGATGGGAAGAGAGGCATTCAGGGGCTCGCAGGAGCCACGAGCCAATTCCAGCCCTGAGTGTCCAGGGAGGGGAGACAGAAGGTAGGCGAGACTGGCTTTTCCCAGGGAATAGGCAGCTTTCTCTCTCCGGCTAAAGGAGGTCGGCTGGAAAAGGATAATGTATGCCCCGGGCTCTGAACCGGTAAAGGGTGAAGCTAAAGACAGCCCTGGGAACTCCTGTCCATCGTAGTTAGGCTCCCAGCAAGGAGCTCAGGTCAGTGTCTGGTGACCCAGCCCGGGCCTGCCCTGCGCCCTGTCCCCTGCCCTCGCTTGTGTGTCTGCACTTGGAGAAATCCCTCAGTGATACAACCCCCCACTGCCCCTGGGAGAGCTGGTCCTGAGTCTAGGGAACCCCAGTCACCGTGGGCAGCTCTGGGCGAGACATGAACAGGGTGTGCGTGGTCCATCAGTCCGTGGCCAGACTTCACAGATCCGCGTCCAGGGAGGGACTCCAGGAGTCCTGTCACTCCCAGAATTTGGGCAGCAGCAGCAGGGGGAGCTCCATGCTCACCTGTGACAGATCCTTGGCGAAGAAGTCTCCATCGGTGCCTGGGATGGCATCGTCTAGCATCTCCCAGCGCTCTCCGACACGGAACTCCATGACGTAGCGGTCGATGGGGAAGCTGTGGTTGGCAGGTGGGAGCCAGGACAGCAGCACACCCTGCTGGGTCCGATTGGCTGTGAGGCACCGCGGTGGGGTAACCAGCACCAGGGGTTCTGGGGTTGTGATGGGGAATGCTGCGGCGGGAGAGAAGGCACAGTGCTGAGGTCGCCGTGGCCTCGCCGTCCACACGATCTCTGGCTCAGCATGTGTCCCTGGTGCACCGTGGCCCCTAGGCGATGGTCACAGGCCACACACCCGTGCAGGCATCATCTCAGGGGCCAGGGTGTCCCAGAAGAGAGCCCTCCCGCCCCACAGAATGGCGGCGTGGCTGTGGGCCAGCACCTGGGCTCCTGTGTCCAGAGCACTTCCAACATCTAGGAGGAGCCCAGTTCCACAGAAGAAACAAAATGGGCCCGGCCAGTGTGGCTCAGTGGATTGAGCATCGTCCCATGAACCAAGAGGTCACTGGTTCAATTCCCAGTCAGGGCACATGCCCGGGTTGCGGGCTCAGTCCTCAGTAGGGGATGTGTAGGAGGCAGCCAATCGATGTCTCTCTCTCTCTCATTGATGTTTCTTTCTTTCTTTCTTTTTCTTTTTTTTTTTTAATTCTCACCCGAGGATATTTTTCCATTGATTTTTAGAGAGAGTGGAAGAGAGAGGGAAGGACAGAGAGAAATATCGATGTGAGAGAAACACATCGATTGGTTGCCTCCTGCATGCACCTGGAACAGGGCCCGGGCCGGGGAGGAGCCTGCAACCAAGGCACATGCCTTTGACCAGAATCGAACCCAGGCCCCTTTGGTACATAGGCTGATGCTCTATCCACTGAGCCAAACCGGCTAGGGCTCTCACTGATGTTTCTATCTCTCTCTCCCTCCCTCTCTCTAAAATCAATTTTTTTAAAAAGAAGGGATAAAATGGGAGCTACGGAAGGAGGACACAAAAATCAATTTTTTTTAAAAAGAAGAAGAAGGGATAAAATGGGAGCTACGGAAGGAGGACACATTAAATGCAATCAGCTTTTTAATAAGATAGTATCTTTACAAAAATACTGTAATCATATCTCTGGTTCTCTTCCCAGGGAAGCAGGGATATATTCCCGCACACGGTTTGCTCTTCCAGCTCCCCTCTAGGCCCAGGGGGAAATCAAGACTCGACGGGGAGACCCCAAGCAGCGCTGGCACTGTTACTGCTGCCCCCTGGGTGGCAGTAAAGCAAGCTGGGCGGTGCCCCCTGCTCGGAGCTGCCCGCTCTGGCCCCAGGTGGGAGGAATGGCCGCCGAGCCCAGGAAGGAAGGGTCAGCCACACGCTTGCCACCGAACGAAGCCAGGGCCAGAGGGAAGTGCGGCCGAAGTACATGAGGCAGAAGGATCCCAGTGCCCCGACCCGTGAAGCCACAGGAAGGCACGGACACGTGGCCTGACCAGGAAGGACAAATTCAAAGCCTCCTCCGTCCAGCTAAGGACGCACCAGGAATCAGCCCAAAGTGACGTGGGGGGAGGTGCTTTGGTATAGACGAGCCCCACAAAATGGAACGACCCATCTTTCCCGGGAGGTCTAGTGACAGGACCGCAGAAAGCCCCCAGGAAGGCGCCTGGCACGCAGCAGGCACGACAATGTCAGCTTCCGGGACCCCTCCTGCCACCGCCCGGACCACGCGGGACCTTGACCCACCCCAGCTCCTCCGGGAAACACCCTTAGCACCACGGCGCGGGGCCTCACCTAAAGTGTTCACAGTGACCACCTCGCTGAAGGCGCTCGTCCCCAGCCTGTTCTGAGCCAGGACGCTGAACTGGTATGCCGTCTCGGGCTCCAGGGCGTCCACGAGCAGCCAGTTGGGCCCCAGGGGCACTGGCAGAGACAGCCAGTCATGGGGTCCAAACTGCGCCCGCTTCATCCTGGCCACAGCAGAGAGAGAGGATCGAAGACAAGAGGGTGGGTGGGTTACACTGGAGACACCGAGAGCATGCACGGTCCTCCCGGAGGCGGCGGCGCTGGGCTGGCCTCCCCAGGTTCAAGGAAGAGGTCACGGCCAAGGAAGGATGGCCACCCGACTTCGATGGGCCACGCCTCACAATGCCAGGTCACCAGCCCCCGTGGCACCTCCTCTTCTACAAGGAACACTCAGGTGTAAGTCATGCTCAAAACACTGGTCAAGCCCTGGCTGGTTTGGCTCAATGAATAGTGTCGGCCTGCGGACTGAAGGGTCCCAGGTTCAATTCCGGCCAAGGACACATGCCTGGGTTATGGGCTCAATTCCCAGTAGGGGGCATGCAGGAGGCAGCCGATTGATGATTCTCTCTCATCATTGATGTTTCTATCTCTCTCTTCCTCGCCCTTCCTCTCTGAAATCAATAAAAATATATTTAAAAAAAAAAGTAAAGAGAAGTGGATGAATTCAGCAGATGTAAATTTGGCCATCCACAGTTCCCCAAAAAGTTAAACATGGAGTTACAATGTGACTGAGAAATTCTCCTAACGGGCTCAATCCCCAGTGTGGGGTGTGCAGGAGGCAGCCAGTCAATGATTCTCTCTCATCATTGATGTTTCTCTCTCTCTCTTCCTCTCCCTTCCTTTCTCTGAAATCAATAAAAATATTTATATAAAAATTAAAAAATCCACCGGTCAAATTACCAACTGTGCTTTGGGATCATCTCAGCCTGGTCACAACCCTAAGAGAGGCTCTGAGGACACTGAAAACGAGGCAGGTACCACAGCACGACCGTGAGGATGAGCAATTTGGCAACAGCAGGACTAACGACACTCAGGTGACCTTGGCCACCCACCCTCGCAAGGACAGCCAACAGTGGGACGTGGAGTCACAGGTTGGAGTCAGAAGAGGAGGTAGGTCTCGGGTACATGACAAAGATGGCTTGGGGTTTCCCCGGAGTGGGGACCAGCTTCCCTAAGGCCTGACAGGTTAGAAACCACAATGAAGGGGAAGGTCACCCCAACACCTGTTCTACACAGCCAACCACCACCCAGCTCCATCTGCATCTCCTACGGGTGCAGTGCCCGGCATTACCACTGGGAGGAGCCGTCGCCCCGTGGACTGAGATGCCACACAGCCCTCTCAGGCCTGAGCTACCATTTAGTGGGTGCCCAACAGGTTCCCCTGTAGGTTGAAGGCTCAATACCATGTATGCCCAGGAGTTGAAGCTGAGGCGGTGAAAAGCACAGGAAAAAAAACAAAACAAAAAATGCTAGCGCCAAATGTATGTCATTACACAGTGAGAGGTTATCGGAAAGAACGGAGAGGAGACCTCCCAACCTTTTCACCTGCCCTTCCCTGCCCAGGCACCACAGCGAGTGAGCAAAGAGTGAAAAGCAACACAGGTGAGCAGCAGCATGGAGCAGAGCCACAAGCAGCCAGCGAAACCCCTACCGATGCCCAGACCTGCCCCCTGGCATCCCCAAAGGTGGCTCGGCCACACCCAACGCGGCCCTAGGGAGGGAGCTGCCCAGTGGTGGTGCCGGGATGTTGCAGGGGTCACCCAGCAGGGTGGTGAGGAACCCCGCCTTGCCCCCACTCTGCCGGGGAGGCCTAGAGATAAGGGGAGGGGTGATCCGGCTGCAGCTCAGAGTCCCCCCAGCTCACCACCTGGGCCCAGCTGGCCGCTCCAGAACTCAATATGCCCAGGATGTCAGTCTGGGAAAAACCCACCACATCTCCATGATGGGAAGGGTTCCCTCTCCGCTCCCCTTGCTGGTAAAAGTGTATCGGGGACTCTCCCTGAATCTCCAGGCCTTTCCCCCTGGATCTGAAGCTTCCTCCTCCCCAGGGCTGAGTCTGGCAGGGATGCCCACCCAGGGGAGACAGGTCTCTCTTTTCTAGAGGAAGAAGTGAGGGGCTCATCCCTCCACCCCATAAGGCAGGGGTCCTCAAACTTTTTAAACAGGGGGCCAGTTCACTGTCCCTCAGACCGTTGGAGGGCCGGACTATAGTTTAAAAAAAAACTATGAACAAATTCCTATGCACACTGCACATATCTTATTTTGAAGTAAAAAAACAAAACGGGAACAAATACAATATTTGTATTTGCATGTGGCCCGCGGGCCGTAGTTTGAGGAACCCTGCCATAAGGGATGCCCATGGTGCAGGCGGGCAGTTCTTGGCTCAGGAGAGCAACGTGGGGGAGGGCGATCCAATGGGAGGGGCCGGCTGTGGCCTTTCTCTCCCTTTTCTAACCCTCCGGTCCTCAGCCGGTTTCTGATCTTGATCTACCCCCAGGTCTGGCCAAGGATGTCAAATCGCTGAATCTGGCTAAATGCATAAGAGACATGAACACAATAGAGACACAGGGTCCTAGAGGGAACATGCATGTGCTGAAGACCTGGTCAGGAAGGGGAGTCCCCCTCCCCACTGGTTTCTGTAACCCCCGGGGAGGGGGCCACAGAATAAAAACCAGCTTCCGCACTTCCGGCTGGGCTGCTTCGCAATGCCCTTGGAGTTCAGGAGTCTCCCCCAGACTCCAGAGGACCGGGGGGACCGAAAGGCAGCATGGGCCAAGGACACAACAAGGTCACAACAGTGAGGTCAGCGGGGGAGAAAGCAGGGCGTGATGGACAGCTCAGGCCCCGGCCTCCCAAACCTCTGGCTGGGAATACAGGGGGCGCCCAGAGTCCCCCAGATACACATCCACCCACCCCCCAAGACCTTAGCCACTGCGTCAACACACCTCTTCCTGTGGGGTCTGGTGAAGAACCATCTCCTTCTCAGAACCCCACCTACCCAGGCACGGACCGAAGTGGGGGTGGGGAGGGAGAAGCAGAGAGCAAAGCATGCGGGGCTGACTCACAGAGGTCCGTACCAAACTGAGAATGTCTGCTCGAATCCTCCATCGTAGCCGGGCTCCCAGGACACGTTGGCAGTTGTCATGGAGACCTGGACCCGGACTCCGCCTGGGGCGTGGGGGCTGGTGCCTGGAGACCAAGTGGAGACCTCTCAGACCGAAAGAACTGAGCCCCCCTCCCCCGAGCTGGGCCCCCGCAAACCTTGCTGCAGAGTAGCAGAAGGCAGCACCCCACGTGGAGGGGCTGGGGCTGGGGGCGCTCGGAGGAGCTGACGCCCTGGCCTGCTGGGTCGGAGGATACGAGAAGGAAACCCAGCCCACCGTGCCACCTAGTCCACCCGGCAGGAGGGGCACGAGCCCTGTGAGCGTGGGCCAAAGGGAAACCTGGCCACTCCATCACCCGAGGTCGAAGCCCTGTGCCCACCTCCAAGCACAGAAACTTCCTTACGGACACAGGCAAGGCCAAAAAACCCCAAACCGCTCTCCTATAGGGTTCCCCAGCCTCAGGAGACAGCCACACGCACCCGAACTCGGGCGTGAGCAGTGAAGAACTTCAACTTGGCTTGCCCTGCCCACCACGCATCAGTGAGGCGGCGCTGAGCAAGGTGCCCACGCCGCCGGCCTCACGTCCACACACGTGCCCTGGGCCATCGCGGCTGCCCCTCCCAAGAGGTACATGGTCAGGCACCACTGGTCAGTGCCTGAAATGGGAGGGAAACGCTCCCGGCATGTTGGCTGTGGCTACCAATGCAGCTGTCAGCGCCCAGAAGTGCAGGCAAAACGGTGCACGCACCTCAGGCCGGTCGGCGGGAGCAGAATGCCCGATGGTGCCCCAGGAGAGGTGAATGGTCGCCTGCTCTGTGCCAGGCCCCACCAGGGATCTCATCTCAGTGCATCCTCCTCCCAGATCCCCCGTTCCTGCCTCCCAGCTTCCCCGCGGGCCCCAGCCTCAGAGCTCCGAGCCATGGCTACTGGGCACGCAGGGGCCTCAACTCTGTGTCAGGGGGTTGCTGGGTACAAAAAAGACCTCCCAGAAGAGGCCCCACGTCCCCTCCCTCACAGAGCCCGCAGAGGGCTCCGGCGACCTGCGGAGGCTCCGGCTCAGGGTGGACTGACGGGGACAGACGCCCACAGTCCCCAGCACCCGGACCCCTGCCTGCCCGGCCGTACCGATGACGGTCAGGTGGGTACTGGCAGTGATGCTGGTGACCACGTTGGTGGCGATGCACTCCCACTCGCCGTGGTCCTCCTTGCTCAGGGCTCGGAACTGGAGGCTCCCGCTGGGCAGGGCGCTGTGCTTGCTTCTGCTGGGCTTCCCTACCTTGGCCAAGCA